CTGAATCTTATCGATGGTCTGAAATCTCTTCCCTTTCAAAGGTGATTTTAGTTTTGGAAAAAGCCAGAAGCCATAGGGTTCCAAATATGAGCTGTAGAGAGGCAGAGTCACATTGGTGATATGATGTTTTGCCAAAAAATTCTGCATGAGATGTGATGCATGAACAGGTGTGTTGTCCTGGTGAAGCTCTCCAATCACCAGTTGCCCACAGCTTCAGCCTTCTGAATCATCTGAATTGTTTCTGTGGAAGAATGTTCAAGCTTAACACAAAATTTGATGCAGATTCATTGCTCTACCTTCTCATTTTGAGTGTGACGGCCACATAGTGCACATGCTTACTCAACAGTGTCTACTGCCCCCACTGACTAGTACAGTGAAGTCATCATTGTTCATGCATGCGCATTCCAATCCACTCTCCTAGCTGCCAGGTTACATTGATGTCGTGCAAACCATTCTTGCTATATTAACAATTGTTGGACTTTTTCCAGACAGACCTTGTAAAAATGAATTTAATTATTGAAAAAGTTATATTAGGCCTTGGCCAGGTTCCTTGGTTGGTTAGAGCACTGTCCTGAAAAACTAAGGTTGTAGGTTTGATCCTGAACAAGGCACATACAAGAATCAACCAATGAATGCATCAATAAGGAGAACAATAAATATCTCTCCCTCTCTTTCTTTATCTCTCTCTGAAGTAGATATATTTTTTAAAAAGAAAGAAAATGTTAAATTAATAATAGGTGATATATAGATATGTCAAAAATTCTAAAACTGGTATACTGGAAAATGACTGGAATTCAGGATACAATGGGATAGATAAGCTATTCCACTGTGTACTGTCCCACCATTTCTCTCCAATACTGCAAGAAACTTCCATCAGGTGAACCTACATCTATTTTTGCCTCTCTTTACCTTGCACCCAACTTGCAAATCTTTTTAAGAAGTGAAAGATACATGAATGGCCAGGAAATTAAAGAATAGGGTCTAGCCTTATCAAATACAAAAATATTTTAACTCTATAGTAATTAAAGCAGTAATAAAATAGAAATAGACAAATCATAGAAAAAAGGTTCAGTCCATAAATAGATATGAATTCACATGGAAATTGAGTATATGATGAAGGTAGCATTTCAAATGCATAACAAAAATGTGAAATTTTTAGCAAAGGGTCTTAAAGCTTACTGGCTCCCCACACTGGGAGAGGAGAATAAAAAAGCCAGATTCCTCATCTCACTCCTGATATCAAAATAAATTCTAGGTGCTCTGAAGTAACAAAGGATGACATGGTAGTGACTGGGGTGGGCGTTTTAGACTGGGTGGTCCAAGAAAGACTGAAGAAGTGGCATTTGAGCTGGGAGCTGCAGGAGTCACAAGTACCAGCTGTGCCAAGTCTGCAGTGTCCAAAAGAGGCATAAGCATGAGTAAAATTAGTGCGAAACTCAGCCCAAAATGAGCTTGAATTGTCTGGACAGAAGGAAGTCCTATGGTTGGACACAGTATGCAGAGGGCAGAGTAGTAGATGATTTCAGAAGTAGACAAGCACCTTTCAAGCCAGGATGAGGAATTGAATTTTATTCTAAAGACAATGGGAAATGTTTTCTGGATTTCAAGCAAGATAATAACATATTCATGGAAATTGAGTATGTGTTAAGGGTAACATTTCAAAAATAATCATAAAAGTTGAACTCCTAAATACTAAATAAATGGTGAGATTCCCCACCTCACACTATACACAAAAATAGATTCCAGATTAATTAAAGATCTAAATGTAAAAAATAAGACTATAAAAGTTACAGATGACACTATTGGTGTTTTTATAATCTTTTCCTCTCTATTTTCATTCTCTCAGGTCACTTTGCAATGGCTGTCCCTCCACTTTCTTCTCCAAGGGAAACATCACTTTCCCTGTGTCAGAGAACTCATTGTTCAAGAGCAAGTTTACATTCAAAGGAAGAACATGTATGGTCTTTACATAATAAAAGCTCACCAAACTCATGATCCAGCAAATCTGAATGACAGTCTCTTTGGGAAAAATGATTATTTTTGTTCCAGAAGCTCATGGACCAGAGTCAGGCATGTTAGCCTGTTTGCAACCCACTGACCTTATTCTCTCATTGCTTTTTGAGGAGCATTGGTCTGAGCAAACCATTCTTCCATCTGCGTTTTTCTTTCTCTTGCCACTGCTGGCACCTGCTCCAAGGTTTCATCCCCTGAAAGTACCCCTCAGGGTTTTCCCAGTTGCCAGCCCCTCTGACACACTTACTACCATATTGGCCTTCTTAAATCCAGTCAGTACTGGATCTCATCCCATCCTCCACAGGAACCTCCCAGCTCCTTAACACCTACAGGGTGAAGCACAAACCCAGTTCGTGCTATTCTAACCTGGCTGTTCCTCTCCTCAGTCCTCGAACCTCATATCCAACTTCTATGGCCTCCAAAACATCCCATCTTTTCTCCAGCCCCCATGGTTCTACCCACCTACTCATTTATGCTTTAATCCCACACAGCAGGAACATCCTCTTACTATTAACATGTGTCCATCTGTCTTCCCAAAATAGATGGAAAGTTCTTGAAGGCCGGAGAGCTTACCTTACCCAGGCTAGGCACAGAATAGTGCTGGGTAAATACTGATCAGGAACCTGTTCTGTAGTCATATCACCTGTTCAGCCTCCTGGTGGAGCCAGCTTGACAAGTTCTTTCTCTTTCCTATAACTGAAGCCATGAATTTTAAACCAGGAACAAGGGATGGGGGCAGAGGTGGGTTTGTACGTTCTGAGAAACATTATGGCAAAAGGAAGAGTCCAGCTGTAGGTGTCAGAGGCAACAGTGCCACCATTAACAAGTGGGATGTTCAGTGAGGTTCATATAATTCCTCTGGGCTTCATTTCCTCCTGTAAAATGAGGACATTAGCAAAGCTCCAAGTCCCCTCAGGCTCAACCATTCTGTGCAAACCTCCATGAGGGCAGATTCAGGAAACTGATTTTCCAATTGACTGAGCTGTGTGGTGTTATTGCATGGAGAATTAAACTACTGTTCATCACAGTTCATTTCCTGAGTTTAGCCTATCAGCCAGTGTTTATTAAGCACCATTTACTCTGCAGTACCCTGGATTAAGTGTTGTAGAGACACAGAAGTGGTATCTCACAGGATCCTTGGCCTCAAGGAATTTATTATATAATCAGAATTTATTACATAATAAAAGCTCACCAAGCTCATGATCCAGCAAATTACTTTGCTTGTTTATCTAAGAGTTTTTTCTGTGAAATAGTTTTACTTGAACCATTACATAAAATCCCTGAGTGAACTATGTTTCTATGTGTCATTTCTATATTATTTGAAAAACACACACGTATACACTGTATGTTCAGATATAAATATATGCATTGAAAATGTATATCCTTAAAATATCTCCATCGACAGGCTGAGTTTTTTTTTAAACTTTTTAATAAACCAAAGGATGTACGTTTTCTTGATTAATAAATATTTTATCAACTATGCTACTACAGTTGTCCCAATTTTTCTCCCTTTGTCCCTTTCCACCCCGCCCCCCAGTCCCTCGACAATCCCCACACCATTGTTCATGTCCATGGGTCATGCACATAAGTTCTTTGGCTACTCCATTTTCTACCCTGTACTTTACAGCCCCATGGCTATTCTGTAACTATCAATTTGTACTTCTTAATCCCCTCACCTCTTTACCCGTTCCTCCACAGCCCCCTCCATCAAAACACTCTCCATATCCGTGATTCTGTCTCTGTTCTTCTTGTTTGCTTAGTTTGTTTTTTAGATTCAATTGTTGATAGATATGTATTCATTGCCACTTCAATTTTCATAGTTTTGATCTTTTTCTTAAATAAGTCTCTTTCACATTTCATATAATAATGGTTTGGTGATAATGAACTCCTTTAGTTTTTTCTTGCCTGGGAAGCTCTTTATCTGCCCTTAAATTCTAAATGATAGCTTTTTTGGGTAGAGCAATCTTGACGATAGGTCCCTGCTTTTCATGACTTTGAGTATTTCTTGCCAATCCCTTCTAGCCTGCAAAGTTTCATTTGAGAAATCAGCTAACAGTTTTATGGGGACTCCCCTGTAGGTAACTCTGCTTTTCTCTTGCTATTTTTAACATTCTCTTTGTCTTTAACCTTTGGCATTTTGAATATGATGGGTCTTAAAGTGGGCCTCTTTGCATCCATATTGTTTGGGACTCTTTATGCTCCTGGACTTGCATGTCTATTTCCTGCACCAAATTAGCAAAGTTTTTTTTCATTATTTTTTCAAATATATTTCCAATTCCTTTCTCTTTCTCAGGGTGTATATTTTAAAACTTTCATAACAGTAGTGAGAATTGTGCTACCTGCCCATCATCCAGCTTCAACAGCCATCAACTTTCTACCATTCTTTTTCATCATTCCCCCACCCTTCTTTCTGTGTGTGTGCTAAAGCATTGCTTGTTATCAGTAGTGAAGGGCCCTTATTTAATTTCCAATCAGTTATGGACCAATGCCAGCACACAACTCACACTATGCCACTCATAACTCACCATACAAGTTCAACGATGCCCAGGAAATCAATTAAAAATATACATGGCACTTGCTTTGAAATACATTAACAGATAAGATTGATTGATTGGTGGATAGATGGATAGACAAGAGAAAAACAAGTAGTGTTAATGGTAAAATCTAAGTGGTGGGTATAGAGGTCTTGTCTGTATTCATATACATATCACCCAGAGCAATTTGGATGTATTCATTAATGATCTGTTGATTAATTAGTCTACCACTTAAGAGCCAATAAAGTTATCTTCATATTCAAGTATGTTTTCTATTAAAAAAAGAGATTGCATTAGGAAAGTCTGTGGTGATTTAAAACTCCTACTTATAAATGTATGTGGGTAGATATTTAATGCACTTAAAACATATCCTGCATAGACGCATAATTCCCCAACATGTGAAAATTTTCCAACATGCAGAACACTTGATAAAAATGGATGAGGCCTGTCCAGAAGGTATCCAACCATGTAATATGAAAAATAAAGACATTTATTGAAGAAGATACAAGATACAAGAAACATTGTACAAAGGACAATGACGCCTCAATCCCCTTCAAAGTAAGCATCTGGTACCTTACACAGTTCTCCCAATAGCCATCAGCTGCACATTGTATTGTATTCTCCTAAATCTCACCAACAGTCTGAAATCTCTTCCCTATCAAAGGTGATTTTAGTTTTGGGAAAAGCCAGAAGTCTCAGGGTACCAAATCTGGGCAGTGGGGGGTCTGAGTCACCTGGGTGATTTGATGTTTTACTAAAAAACTCTGCACGAGACGTGATGCATGAGTGGGCATGTTGTGATTGTGCTGCCAATCACCAGTTGCTCATAGCTGCAACCTTCTGAATCATCCAAATAGTTTCTGCACAGGAATGTTCAAGCTTAACACAAAATTTTATGCAGATTCATTGCTCTACTCACTCAGTCATTTTGAATTTAATGACTACACAGTATACTTGCTCTCTCAATGGCGTCTACTGCCCCCACTGACTAGTACAGAGCAGTTGCCATTGTTCATGCATGCACATTCCAGTCTGCTCTCCTTGGATACTAGGTTACATTGACGTTGCACAAACCATTCTTGTTATATTACCAATGGCTGGGCTTTTTCTGGACAGACCTCTTATATTAAGTTTATCCTATGTAATATCTGTAAAAGCATAGATATAGTGTATTTTTCTGATATATTAAACTGAATACATAACAATGAAAAGAAACACTGTTTGCCCATATAAATTTTTGTGTACTGCCAGCAGTTTGAGAAACATTGGTCTGAGCAAAGCAGTCTCATCAGATTTCCAGATGAAGATCTCCACTCAGAAGATCTTCATATCTGGCTGTTCATATCTGTTGCTTGCACAGGTGGGTTCAATTTGTGAAAATCATCAAGACATTTACTTATAAAACACTTATCTGTATGATTATTATAATCCATTAAAAAGTTTTCAAAGTGAGTGTTAAAGTTTTCAAAGTATCACTGTATTGTTTTGTTCTAATAACATGTATTACATGTGCCCCTACATAGGTCATGCAAAGAAATAGACTAATGAGGTAAATAACAGTTACACAAACTTAAAACATGGTAGCAGTTCTGTTCTTTGGAGTTCTGATATTACTGCACGCAAATCCATCTCCCCCAAGACCTCTGAAAGGGCCCCAGGCGGCATTACTGGCCAGTGGAACCTTCATAGGATGATAAAATGTCAGTGAGGTGATCTGTAGGGCAGAATCAGAGAATAATGCCAAAGGCCAGTGCCTCGATATCCTTACCCCTTAGTCTCTATTAAAGGTGAACGGAGATAAATGGAAAATGCCATCCTGATCCCAGGAATATCTAATTAAGGCACGAGACTGCAGGCAATCAAATGTCTTGTACTGACCTGTCACAAGCACTTACTCAGACACAAACAAGAACACGCTACACTCTTTTTTAGCATCAGGTGATTCTGATTCTTGGGCTTGGAAATTCTCTGCTTTCAGAGCCTAACCACTGGCTCAGAGCCCACAGCACTGATGTTAATAAAGTTTACAGAATTATTAATACTAAAATCTCACTGCCAAATAGAAGCTGCCACTTCCGGGCATGGAGATTTAAATAGCTTGTATCTTTTGTCCTTTAAAAGCAGTATATAAAAATCCAGTTTCTTCCTGTTGGTAGCCATGGAAACTAATATCCAATATTTCAGTGACTGCATAATACTAAGAACTACAGCATTCTTCAAGGGCACCTATTAATTTACTTCACATTAAAAAACAATAAAACTAGTGACGTTAAAATTCTATCTGTAGATTTTCAATTATAAGCCCCACTGGTTTCACGACTGTTTGGGGGCCAGTTGAATAGGCGAGGCCCGTAGAGAAAGATTGCTGGTCAGAGGGAAATCGGGAGGTTTGTTTCTCGAGTGTCTCTCAGAGGCCTATTCATTTCCCGTTTCCTCCATTTAGGTCTCTTTCAAGTGGTGCCTCTGCACTTCAATGTGGAACTGTTTCTTACATCTCCTATTCCCAGAATTGGAAGCCTTAGTATGTAATTCCTGACCTTTAAAAGGCTTCTCTCTCCATCCAAGAATCCCCAACAGTCCCCAAGAGTCTGCCTATGAGGGCACATTCACTCTGAATGTACATGTTTAAGCTAACCGACTTGCATAATCCAGTTTCTGGAAAGCTTAGGGGATCTTATGCCAATTAAATTTCACCTGAAGTTTCTCCAAATCTAATTGCACCATGTTGCCAGTTTCTCTTGTTCCCCCCAAAACAAGGGATATAACCCTTTTCTGTCAATGCAGTTTGTCTGGATAACTGTCAAGGTAGGGGTTAGTGTGAGGCTTCCACTCACAGTTTCAGGGAGCTTAGTGCCAGGTGATGTCATCTACCAACTGAGTCTCCAGTGGGCGTTCAGAACACGGCCCTGGAGCAGAGCATCTGCCAGCACAACTCTGCACCGGTGAATTACAGCCCCAAGGAATATAGTCAATAATACTGTCTGATGTCAGATGGATTCCAAACTTATTGGGGGATCACTTCATAACATACATAAATGTCTAATCACTATGTTGTACACCTGAAGCTCCATCCAGCCTATCATAATTGAGCTTATGCATACTTTAATGGGTAGAGACAAGAGACTTTATTTTTTTCTTTAATTTGTGAATCTTAGCTGTTATTTTAGAAGGTCCAAATTTCCTTCTACTTTCAGTTAGTCTTACAAAATAGACATTTCTGGATTTGGAGAGGCAAGGGTATGACTAAGATGTGATGCACTGTTTTGGAAAGGTACTTAAATCTTTGTGTTATTCTGGTATATACGTTCTCAATCACATGGTTGCAGTTTGACAACATGGTATAATTCTTGTACTTGACTGAGCACAGAGCTTTATTCCCTTCAAAAAAATTCATCTTATGGAAACGTGTTCTCTTACGTCAGGTTCTCCCCAAGGTAGACTCCAAGTCAAGGATCCAGATACAAGAGATTTATTAAGAAAAAGCTTCTAGGCAAAGCCAGTGAGTGAGTGGGAGGACAGCCTAATTCAGAGCAAAGCTCTTGAGAGTCAGTTATGCCTCAGAGCATGTCCTTCTTTGAGACAAGAAAGCTGGGCTTTTGGACTCCCAAACCAGTCATTGGCCTCAGGCCAAGGCGAATGGTAGGTGGGAGTGTGGCTACAGGGGCTATAAAATTCCCAGGCACTGACGGCTCTCTCTGTGGGCTGAAGAGCCTCTAGTACATGGTCACAGATGCTAGCTGTTGACTGCAGAGGACTTGGCTGGGGCTGGCCACACAGAACTAGCAAGAGAGACCTGAGGGGACCTGGATGGTACACTAACAGCGTCACCACGGGGCTGCCCCCCGCCCTCCGCCATCCACATGGCCTGCTCTCAGCACCAGGTACCAGTTATAGGTCTTTCATCACATTCTGCCTCAAGAGGAAATGAATAACATCTTTGGAAAGTCCTGGGGTCGGCTTTTCATCATCCAGCGACACACGTTCTTCATCCAGTGGGTAGAAGCGGGTGTCCCTGGAATGCCTCTGTAATACTGAGCAGCCATCCCGGTTGAAAATGACCCGGGCCATTTGAAAACTGCGGAGGGCATACTTTTGGTTCTCCTGGTCCTTCAGTTCATCGATTTTCTGCGACAGGCACTGGCAGACGGATGCGGAGAGTGGATTTCCAGAGGTGGGCTGTGGACGGCCAAACATTTCATAGAATCTGTCCAGAGATTTCCGAAGCCCATCATCCTCTGCCTTGGTCTCTGGTTGGCCTTTAGCAGAAGGGTCAAGCCAGAAGTTCTCAGATGTCCAAGAATCATTTTGCGTAGTATTTAGGTTACTGGTGTCTGCAAGACAAACATATCCCCATACTCAAACATATACTCAGAAATACCAGCCAGCCAGCCAAGAGCAGATAATGTCTTTTTAACTCAACACACTTGTGGCTCCTGGATAACAGGCAATGGACCGACTCAGATGATTTCAGAGTCTGTTCCCACCATCCTGGGGTTATATCACTTGTTCGCCCAAAACAAGAACATCTTACTTTCATGTTTCAGGGGTTCCTAACCTGGGGGCCTTGTAAAGAAATTCAGGGTGGCTGTGAACTCGGATGAGAAAAATATCATATCTTTGTTTTTACTAACCTCTACCTAAAACCAAGCAGTTCCTTCCATGATGTATGTAGGCAATAAACCCATTAGCAGCAATACCTGTGCCCTTGTCACCAACATCACAGCTATTTTTCATATCACATTATAGTTGGTTGAAGATGTTTTGAAATATCATTTATGACTATCACTATGCCATGGACTGAACTGTGTTTCTCCAAAATTCATGTTAAAACCCTAATCCTTAAAGGAGATGGGGCTTTTAAGAAGTTACTGAGGTCAAATGAGGTCATAAAGGTGGGACCTCAACCTGATAAGACTGATGGCCTTATAAGAGGCAGCTCTCTCTCTTCCTGTGCAGGAACCAGGAAAGGCCGTGTGGGGACACAGCATGGCAGCATTCTGCAAGCCAGGAAGACAGCCCTCACTAGAACCCGATCATGCTAGCACCCTGATCTCGACTTCCAGGCTCCAGAACTGTGAGAAAATAAATTTCTTTTGTTTAAACCATTCAGTTTACGGTATTTTGTTATGGCAGTCCAAGTAGACTAAGGCAACTACTATGAAATTAGCACAGTTATTAGTCCTGACACTAGATCTTATTATTTAAGTGTTAAAGAACACACATTCACTATAATATCACACATTTGTCCTTTAAGTATTTTAACAATTACATTTCAATTTTTCCCTTGGTAATCCCAGATATTTTACTTCACGCAGTTAAAAACTTTACTCTGCAAAATGGCTCATGGGCTTCATCAGATGCCAAAGGGATCCATTGTACAAACACAGTAAAGACCCCTAATGCAACAGTTCTGGGCATTTACACAGTTCAGATTATTTCGTTCTCTACTCCCTACAACAACTCTATAGGCTTTTATCTCTAAATTAAAATCACCAACTTTATGTTTTTTAATGAAGGAGTAACAAACTAAGTGACTTAATATAATGGACAGTTCTTGATCTAACTTTCTGTACCTCTCTGAGCACCTTAATTCTTTTTTTAAAATAGTTTTTTAAACTAAACAAAACTAAGCAAACAACCAGAACAGGAACAGAATCAAAGATATGGAGATCATCTGGAGGCTTATCAGCTGGGAGGGGCAAGGGAGAGAATAGGGAAATGGTGCAGGGATTAAGAAGCATAATTGGTAGGAACAAAATAGACAGGGGGATGTTAAGAACAGCATAGGAAATGGAGAAGCCAAAGAACTTACATGCACAACCCATGGACATGAACTAACAGGGGGATTGCTGGAGGGAAGGGAGTACCAAGTAGAGGGGGGCAATGGGGGAAAATTGGGACTACTATAATAGCATAATCAATAAAATACACTTTAAAAAATTGGAAGAAAGGTTTTTAAAAAGATTTTATTTATTTTTTTTTTAGAGAGAGGGGAAGGGAGGGAGAAAGGGAGAGAAACATCAATGTGCAGTTGCCTCTCACACGCCCCCTACTGGAGACCTGGCCCGCAACCCAGACATGTGCCCCAGATGGGAGTCAAACCTGCAAATCTTGGTTTGCAGGCCAGCACTCAATCCACTGAGCCACACCAGCCAGGGTGTAAGTAATTTAATAATAGACAGTAAGAAACCAGAATTGGAGCCAAACCCTAGTTCTTGATCTAACTTTCTGTACCTCTCTGGGCACCCTAATTCTTAACATAGGAATCTCTTAAGTCTTTGAAACAAATAAATTTCTTATCATTGTGTACTAGAAAAGATTCACATAAATAATTTATAAGTTGCTGAATTCCTTATATAGCCACCAATTTTATGCTTTAATCTTTTGTATTTTAAATCAAAATAGTATATTTTCCTTGTTTTGCTCTGATATAAGCTGTAATTAATTACTAGTTTTAATTCTATACACCCACTCTCCATCCCTAGCTTAATCAGTAGTTATAATAAAAATATCTATACTTGCTAATGAAGAAAGTTGTGTGATGCAGTGGTTGGAGTTTTAGAAAGGAGCTGAAATTGAGAGTTTGACTCTAGTTTTGTTCCCAGCTAGATATGTCTCTTTGAACAAGCCAGACTACCTTTCTGAGTTTTTGTTTTTTCATCAAGAGAACAGGAGTTCTACTAAATGATCTCTCTTCTAGAATTTCTATGGTCATATAGGGAACAGAAAAGTATATGATCCAAAGCATTAGAACACCCAAAAAATATGGACACATGTTCTGTGAGATACATGCAGACTCACAGATGGACAAGCATTCATTGATTCAACACACAATTAGCCCAACAGCAAAGCACTTAGCCCACCTTGAAGAATGGCTCATGCCAGGCTGGTGAGAGAAAAGTACAAGATGAGCCTGGAACATCTTACTGTTCTAGAATGCTCACGGAATGATGGCAGCATGTTGGGAGAGAGGAACAGAGGCCAGCTCAAAAGGGATTCTCTTGGCCAAATCTGGAACAACTTCAGCATCAAAATAAATAATGAGAGCACAGATTATAACTGACTTATTAAAACAGAAAACCATGCATCCATAAAATAATTAAAAGCTTGAGAAGAACAGGATATTTACACGTCTCAGAGTACTTCCCCATATTTATTAGTCACAAAGGGGAAAAAGTCATGTTGATAGTGGAGAAGCCTGGCAAATACCTTAATCAAGTGATCTAGGTAGGCATCACCAGTAATGGGGATAAAACAAAATCAGGTGCTACCCGACCAGGTGCAACAGGACGATCCAGCATCTCTTCTCTAATAGTCCTGCCTAAGGTGCACATGACCTGAACCCAACTAACAGAAAGCGTCAGACAAAACCAAATTGAGGGACATTCTATAAAATGACTGGCCTGTACTTTTCAGAAGCACCAAGGTCATGAAAACCAAACAAAGACCAAATATCTGCTGATGATTGAAGTAGATTAAGGAGACATGACGACTAAATGATACGCATGATTTTCAACTACATCTTTTTGCTATAAAGAATGTTACGGGGACCACTTGAATGGGGGCTGAGGATTAGATGGCCGTGATTTTATCACTGTTAATTTCCTGATTTTGATGGTTGCAATGGGTTATGTAGAAGGGTGTCCTTGCTTGTAGGAAAATCAAGGGTGGTGGGCATCAGGTTAACAGCTTACTCTCAAGTAATTCATGGAAAAAAGTTATTTGTATTGGACTTGCAAGTTTTCTATGAGTTTGAGATCATTGCAAGAAAGAAATTAAAACAAACCTCTGGAGGAATAATTGGAAAAACTTCCTTTGGTGGCCTACTATACTATTAAAACAAACAAACAAACAAACCAACCAAAAAAGCCTTAGCTCAGGGCTTGGCAAACAGTTCTTGCCTCACAGATGATGCTGCTGTTAGAGAGCCAAGGGAAGAAGGGAAGGGGCCCTGCGATGGCAGGATGAGAGGTCCCTGCCCACCTTCTTCCTCACAATGATCAAGTCCTGGGGTGGTCAGGCAGCAAGACAGGGGCTGAGCATGATCAAGGGGAGAATGAGGAGAGAAGGGAGATGCTCAGCAATAACACTGGGAAAACTGGAGATTTCTTGAAACTGCCCACCCAAGGCAACCATTTATACAGAATATTCCAAGTTGTGTTATTAAGTAACTGATCAATAGCTGATATGCAGGTTTTCAGTTTCCATCTGAGTTTCATTTTTAATATTTAATTTTTGAAATCAGGTGTCCTAAATTCAGTGTCCAAAAGAACCCAGAAAACTAGCCTGTCTTCTGTATTTTTTCATGCAAATGTCAAGCAGACTGCAGCTCATCTTCAAAGAAACCCTTCCTTCCCCTTTCCAAAAAGCAATAATAATATGGGTTGAGTCATTAGTCAGTTCTTTCAAACACTGCCTTCAGTTCATTTTAGTCTTTGATTTCCTTTTAAAATTTGTTTTACTAAACAACTACAAAGCCATCTCTTTAATCATATGGCTGGTGTGGCATTTTGGACATCACTGTTTTTTCACCAGCAAATAAAGCTAATTGCTTCTTTTTTTCTTGATGCACCTAAATGTGAACAGAAGGATGGATCTTTGATAACTCAGTCAGTTCCTGCTCAGTGGTACATTCTCACGCGTATATTCAAGCCCCATTTATTCTACCTGTTGATAGAACCCAGACTTGTAGGGCTCTCAGCTTGGGACTGTAATGTCTACTCTGGGGAGAGACTGGGGACATTTTTGTGTCAGTGATTGGAAAGGGCTACTTGTATTTAGTGGCTAGGATAAAGGATGTAAATATTCTACAATGCAGAATAGCAATTTTCAACCAGTGTGCTGCAAGAATTTTTAAAGCATGCAATACCTGACTATTTAGTCAGGGGCACTGGTCTCTTTTCCCCTGGATTGTCAAATATAAAAAAAGACCACATAGTTAGCATGACAATAGACATCTCATATGAATGAATCAAAATTATACCTATTTTTTTGTCAGATTGGCAAAAGGCAAAACATGTATTTTTTGGTGTGCTGCAGAATTTTAGGTATTAGTTTGTGTGTGTCATGAGATCACAAAAGTCGAAAATCACCCATGTAGAGGATAGTTTCATACAACAAAGAATCATCTTTGCCCTAAATTCCAGCAGTGCCCCTCACTCTCTCAGGAACTCTGGCTCAAAAGATGGATTCTGGAGGGAGTGGGAAGTGAATGCTGAATCCCACTGCCTGGTGATATGCTGATTTGCCCTGAGCTTCCCCTTGCTCTATGGGCTTTTTCCTGGTACCCATTTGCACTATGCATTCTTTCCTTCTCAGACTTTGAGATCTA